TTTAGCCCCAGCTCTGTGGCAGGATGGACCATGCCCCACACCTTGCCTGGGTGCTCCTCCTTGTGGAGTGCTCTGCTCCTTCTGCCAAAACCTTGACGTAAGTTAAGTTGCGGTTTGTTCATGTCCGAAGTTAAAAGAAAAAGCTGCCATCCCCCAGAAACTGTCAAGGGTTAACAGGAAATGAGCAGCTAGCATTGAGGGAGTGCGGTCCTTCCTCAACTGGGGGAAGGAAACCACAAAGGGCAAGGGTTGTGTGGCAGGATGTCTTATGTTTACGCAGAAGAGCTGTTCCATCTTCAGATTTTCCTTCTTAATCCCTTCCCATCTTCAACCACTTCTACCTTTTCATGAGCAAGATTTGGGAAACAGGGCAACTCCCACCCCACCATTGAATTCAGCTCTTTCGATATCTCTATAAAATTATACTTGGAGGGGAGGAGCATGCAAAGCAGTACTGGTAGCCATCAAAATACTGTAGCCGTCCCAGCTACATCACCCATCAAAGCTAACTCTTCAGCAGCAGTCAGGAAAAACAAGGCAGGGTGTTGCATTTGCCTACTACTGCCTAAAGCAGAGATGACAAAGCTGTCCTCCAGAGGTTTTCTCCGACGGGGAGCAAGCAAAGGAATGTTATGCATGCCTTCTAAAATAAGGATGGGGTCACCGCATCTTGAAGGATGAGGCTCCTGTCCAACTGAAAACGTCTCCCCGAGCCCTGCTTACAGGGAGTGTAACATACAGAAACACAACAAAAAGGGCTGTCCTACAGTTTCAGCTGTGTAGACTACAAAAAAAAAGGGGGGGGAGTTTCTGTGTTTATCATCTCAGGTAGTCCTCTGCACCAAGGTAACAGAAGGCAAAGCTCCAGAATTCTCCTCAGGGGTACCTCCAGTTTCCAGTGCCCTGGTCTCTTCATGGGTACTCTCTTCAGGAAAGCCTTTTTCATGTCTTTCATATGTGCCAGTTGTGTCTGAATCTGGGGCCAGTGCTCATCTCCATTTGTAAGCAGAAGAGCCAGCGTTGTCTGAAGATGCTTCTGTGGTCATGCACCAGCATGACTAAGTGCCGAGGTGCATGGAATGCTGTTACCTTTCCCACCAAAGTGGTACCTATTTATCTACTCGCATTTGCATGCTTTCGAATTGCTAGGTAGGCAAGAGCTGGGACAAAGCAGCAGGCACTCACCCCAACAAGTGGATTCACACTCCCGACCTTCTGATCAACAGCCCAGCAGCTCAACGGTTTAACCTGCTGCACCACCTGCATCCCTTCCTGTAAAACCTTTATCAAAATACTTACACATCATAAGGTAAAAAAAAGTTTTAGCCAACTGGACAACTCATAGAAACTGTGCTATGTCCAAAGCTGCCACTCTTGTGCACAACTGCTATAGCTTTTAGGGGATGATAGTTTTCCAAAACTGTTTTTTGCAGCCAATAATTATATCTTAAGGGACATGGCTAAAACAAGCAGCATCCACTGGGGAATGAGGCATTCCCTGGACTATTAGGGTGGTATATAAATGCAAATAATAATAATAATAATAATAAATTAATTAATTAATACCATTCCAGACTGTCAAACCTGGGTCAGAAAGGGGGCCATTGATTACATTATAAGGTACATGGCTGAAACTAGTAGCTTCTAGTCATCCTCCCATATCTTACAACATCGCAGGAGAGGTATTAAACAGAGTCCTGCTCCTTTACTGATCTCCCTTCTTTTAATATGCAGCTTCTTGCTTGCTTCAGACAATTCATCTGGCCTTGCTGCATACAGCAGTGATGAGTTCCAGCCCACCTGCAGTATCTGACTACCATGTGGATCTATGTATTAGTTACCAGGCACTGAAAATGAGTTACCAGCTATTCATGTTACTTTTAAAACTCTGTTATTTATTGCCAGCCCTGACTTCCTTCCTTTACCATTCTTTTGGCCATCTAACATAGGAAAAGAGACTAATGTGACTGTAATCTTTATTACATTTTACATCCCAGGATACCTTAAAGGTGCATACAGAGGGCAGTCAGGCAATCTTCCACCCATATGAGACCAGAACTAGGCCTGTGTAGTATCAGCAAGATAATTGCATTATGTGCTTTCCAGTGGTTCAGCATCTAGACCACTGCCAGAACTATAACATAGGTTTAAAGTAGTAATGATAGCTACAGAAAAGTTTAAAAATTGTTCTTTTCATTGATTGTTTTGGTGCACCACATTTCAATGTCATCACGTTTTCTTCCTGTCAGCTTTCTTCACTGTTCAGCTTTCACGCCCATACATAGTAATAAGGGATACAATAATGTGGATCATCTTGGCTTTGTTCTCCAGGGAAATGTGCTTACACTTGATTATCTTTTCCAGTTCATTGCTGCATTTCCAAGTCTCAGTCTTTTTTGAATTTCTTGGCTGCAGTCTCTATTTGAATTAACTAAGCCAAAGTATGCACAATCTTTCACAATTGAAAAATATTCACTGTTGGCTTAACATTGTGCAATTCTTCTGTGGTTATGATTTTTGTTTTCTCGATGTTCAGCTACAGCCCTGCTTCACTTTCATCAGGACTGATTTCTATGCATTGCTGCTTTCTGCCTGTGATATGGTATCATTTGCATATTTTAAATTATAGATGTATCTTCCACCAGTGTTTACATCTTCCTCTGAGCCTAATCTAGTTTTCCTTATGATATGTTCTGCATACTGACTGAATATATGGGGATAATACACCCTTGTCTGAAACCTTTGCCTATGGGAAACCATTCTGTTTCTCCATATTCTATCAAAACAGTAGCTTCTTGTCCACAATACAGTTATGCATGAGGATTATCAAGTTACTCACACCCATTTCTATCAGAACCAATCATGATCCACACAGTTAAAGGTTTTGGTGTAGTCTGCAAAGCATGGACTAATCTTCTGAACTTCTTTGGTACAATTCAGTAGCCAACACATATTTGCAATATGCTCTCGACTGCTTCTTCCTTTCTAGAATCCAGCTTGAACATCAGGCATTTCTCACTCCATATACTGTAAACATTATTGAACGTAATTTTGCTTGCATGGTAAATTAGTACAATGGTCCTGAGCTTGCTGCACTCTTTTGCATCTGTTTTCTTGGGGATTGGAATATATGTTGAACATTTCAAGTCTGTGGGCCACTCTTTTGTTTTCCATATTTGTTGGTATATTTATGTTAGGATTTGGACTGATTCAGTCTCTTCAGCTTGGAGAATTTTTATTTCAACAATGTCAACTCTGGGTGCTTTATTCCTTCCAAGTGCTTTCACCTCCTTTTCTAGTATTGCAGGATTCCTTACAGGATTCCTCTTTGAAAGAGTTTCTCATCCTTTTATCTCTTCTGTAAAAGTTTTTCCATATATTGCTTCTACTTTGTTTTCTGCTGGTTAGACAGTATATTCCCCTGCAGGTCCTTCAACATTCCTAATCTAGGTTTGAATTTCCCTTTGATTTCTTGGATCTTCTAAAGGTTTCATTTTTCCTCTTTTTTGTTCTCTTCCATTTCTCTGCACTGGTCATTGTAATAGTTCTTTTTGTCTCTAAACGATAGCCACTGAAAAGTTACATTCAGAATTCCACCTTGGGTGCCTGTGCTAGGAGTCCAGACCGGTCTGACCTCCTGGCAACACTGCTTTTGGCTCCTCTGAGAATCTCAAAACCCATCTCCACATTAAGGTGTGCATCTAAGCGGGGAGATAACATACTATTCTACATATCTGTAGGAATGTCTCTATTGTCATATTACTATGAGGATAAAAGGTAAAGGTTTCTCCTTGACGTTAACTCCAGTCATGTCTGACTCTAGGGGGCGGTGCTCATCTCTGTTTCCAAGCTGAGGGAGCCAGCGTTTGTCCATAGACAGTCTTCGGGGTCATGTGGCCAGCTTGACTAAACACCAAAGTGCACGGAACGCTGTTATCTTCCCACCAAAATGGTACCTTTTTATCTACTTGCATTTGCATGCTTTTGAACTGCAAGGTTGGCAGGAGCTGGGACGAAGCAATGGGAACTCACCCCGTTGTGCAGATTCAAACCGGCGACCTTTCGGTTAACCAGCCCAGCAGCACAGCAGTTTAAACCACTGCGCCACCTGCATCCCTTACTATGAGGATATGGGATCAAAAAACAGAGGGGGAAATGTGTAGCATTTCTGATGTATTCCTTTATATATAGTCTGATAATATAGGCAGTCTCCTATCCAGGGCCAGCTTTAATGCAAATTATATGTAAATCTAAGTAACAAATTATACCTAACTGGTAACTACTTACTTGGGAAATGTGTTCAACTTATTTGTGTGTGTGTGTTTTCCCTGCAGCATCTCGTAACTAATGCACAGATTCACATGGCCATGCAAGACTGCAGGAGGGTAGGTCATATCAGTGCTGTAAGAAGCAAGGCCAGAAACACTGTCTGAAGCAAGCACTGTTTAGGAAGAAGCCACATACAAAGAGAAGGGAGATCAGTGAAGGAGTGGGACTCTATTCAGTGCTCCTTATAGGATGCTTTAAGACAGTGGTTTCCAACCTTTTTGCAGTTGGGTACCAGCAAAAATAGGAAAATTATTTTGGAGACCGTGGAAGCAGAAATTAAAAGCATTATATGCATAATATAGTATTTTGTGTATTTGTTTTTAAATATAATACCAAAATGAAAATTCTACAAAATAACCAGAAACTGAGCAGTAAAAATGCTAATAAAAGAATAAAATATTGAAATTAAATGTAATCAAATACAACGGAATTTTTTAGAGAGGAATATGTAATTCAAATAAGGCTACTGCAAAATCTGCCGTTGCTTCTTTTCAAGAATACTTGATCAAAAATTTTCAATAGCAGAACACAAAATCAATCTAAATGCAATACTATACTCATAGCAAATACAAATTCAAATATAATATTAACAGCAGAGCAATACAAAATCAAACAAAGTTACTTGATGCAATAGTATTCATAATATTAAATAATGAAATCAACGAACCCCACCCACTCAAGCCCCCATATACACCAGCACAGACTGTCTGAGAAAACACTCTCAGCACCACCCCACCCTTCCCAGCAGAAAACATCGCAGAGAAAGGGAAAGGCCCGGTCTCGGGCGCCCGCCAGAGGGCAGACCAGCACAGCACAGCTCCCAGCTGGCTCCCATTGAGCTGCTTCTTTCTCCCTGGCCTCTTCGGCCGAGGAAGTGAATCTGCAGGGAGAGCACAGCTACTCCCAACGCTGGTCTGCAGCAAGACAGCAGCTCTTTCACAGACTGGCAGGAAATGCCTGTGGATCGGTGCTGGTCCACGGACCAGCAGTTGAAAAACACTGCTTTAAGATACAGAAGGAGGATCTTTACAAATGGAATCAGTTTCAGCCACTTAACTTATGACACTATCAACACTGCTCCAGATTTAGTTTACACTAGCACGATGGAAATTTACTTTCACATAAGTGTTTCATGGGATACTGCCCTATATGTTATCTATTAAACAATGATGGTGAGCACATTCTGGAGACAGAAGGCTTCCTCAGTGAACAGCCAATCTAGATTAATTTTATCCAGTCATCTGGACAAACAGCTATATGAAAGAAGTTGGATAAGGCAAGGCATTCAAGTGTGAAAGAAAGCAGAGTGACATCTCCGCTGTGAAATATTAACTGATAATCATAATGCGCTGTCATGCAATCTTTCAAAAACAGGGCACTAGAGAGACAACATTACTCAGCTTGTATTCAGCAGAGGAAAAAGTAACCCATCATGCAACACATTCCTGCGGGGGTGGGGGGAGCAAAATTATGAAAACATTGCAAAGGGTTGGCCGTGGAAAATATTAGTAGAAACATTTTAAGGATAAAATGGCATGAAGATGTGCTCAACTGGTGCACCATTTGAGACACAACTGGAATTGGGGAGAAGTCAACTGCTCCCTCTTCAGGAATGTGAACTAATACCAGTAAAAACAATGAACACCCTCAAAAAGGCCATTTGATTTTATCTCTGTAAAAGAAAGTCCTGCATTTCTATTCCTGTAGCAGTACCATTGCGTGTTTAACTAAAAACATGAAACAAAGGTCAAATCTGTTGTGCAACATCCACAAGATTCCATTTAGACCCCATTTCGGAAATTTAAAAAGCAGCCACCACTTTGGAGGTCACCCAAAGTGACCTGACTGAATCAGACCTTCAAGAGAGGAAATCCAAAGTTTTGAATGTCAGCACATGAGCTACCACTGGGAAACTAAATAAGTATGTGTCTTTCTTTTCCTCATAGCCAGTAATTTGCAAGTACCATTGCCCTTTCTAAAGGGGTGAAATTCTGCCAGATTTCAGAAAGAGAACTGGAAAGGGGACTGGGTAACAGTAGTCTTTACTGGTTTGGAGGTTTTCAAAAACAAATCTGCTTATCCCCACCTACCCAGTATTTGCTGGGAGTGCAGTCTGTATGAAAATGACATATATTAGGGTTACAATAGGAAGGAAGCCTACAAATTGTTTGAAGGACAGGCTCAGGGGATTTTATATTAGGAGCCTGTAAAGTGGGGGGGCAGGGGTAAAAATGGAGTTTGCTTCCTCCCCAGTGGTTTATAGGCTCTCTTTATGCATGCATCATTCACAGTAGTGCCCTTAAGTAAGTAACCTGCAACATTTCAGAATTCTAAGTGCATTGGCTAGGAAGTTAAAATACATGAAAGACATTTTGAGGCCTTTTCATGTTCTGCTTACTCGGCAGCAAATTCACAGAAAGCGCACTGCAAAGCTGATAGGACAGGAATGAATATGTACTTGTGGAAAAGGCAGAAGGAACTGACCACTTAGCAAGAAAGCTTCTGAGGCTACACTCTCCTAGTTCTGCTTGCCGTGAAGTTTAAATGCACCTTTACCAGCATCCGGCACTTCCCCTGACCAGAGAACCACAGTACCATTTTATGGAAAAAGCACGGTATTTAGCATCAGAGTGTTTTAAATTGAGAGCTGAGCTAAGGAGTGCACAGTGACATTCAAATGTAGCCGAGGAGAGTAGCAGGGCCAGGCAGGTTGAAGAGAGGCAGCTCAAGCATCCTCGCAAGGCAGGCCCTGCTCCTGTGTAGCAATGGGGAACCATTCTGGGGCATCAAAGAGTGCTAGAGGCTCAGAGCTAAGTACTGTGCTGAAACAAGTGAACAGAGGCAGTTGTAGACAGAACAAATGCTAGATACAGGAGTGCCTTAACCTCATGGATTTGGCTAGAGTGGTGATTCTGCTGTTTTTCAAGAAGGAGCCACTTTGGCTACTTCCTGGTGAGGTTTGTGCTCAAGAGCGACCTCTCCCTCTGTAAGGGTGCGGACCCGATTGTGTGGGTCCGCCCCTGGAGCCGGATGGATCTGGAAGGATTCCTGAAGGCCCTGGGGGATTTTCCGGCTGACAAGACAGGTGCTCGTGTCGAGGCTCTGGTCGAACTGTGGAATGGGGAGATGACCAGGGCTGTAGACACGATCGCTCCTAAGCGTCCTCTCCCACCGGGCAGAGCCCACTCTTCCCCTTGGTATACTCCTGAATTGAGGGCAATGAAGCAGGTTGGGAGACGGCTAGAGCGTAGGTGGAGGAAATCACGGGAAGAATCTGACCGAACGCACTTGAGAGCCCACTATCGGGCCTATGCTGCGGCGGTGAGGGAGGCGAAAAAGAGATTTTTTCCCGCTGCCATTGCCTCCTCACAATGCCGTCCAGCGGAGCTCTTTCGAGTGGTGCAAGGCCTGGTTCGTCCAGGTCCGAAAGAAGACCTGATTCCACCCTCAAAGGCCCGCTGTGACGACTTTGCCAGGCATTTCCGGGAGAAAATCGCTCAGATTCGTCACAAGCTGGATTCCACTATTGATTCAGAGGTTTTAAGGGAGACGCCAACACCACCATCTGGTCCAGAATTATTGGATGAATTTCAGTTACTGAGGCCCGATGATGTGGACAAGGTGCTTGGATGAGTACGTCCCACCACTTGCCTTTTGGACCCTTGCCCGTCTTGGTTAATATATAATTCCAAGCACCGGATTGGGACCTGGACCTTGGAAGTGGTTAACGCTTCTCTGAGGGAGGGTCGGGTGCCTGCCCCTTTGAAGGACGCGGTAGTCCGACTGGTCCTGAAGAAGGCGTCACTGGATCCAGAGATGGCCACTAACTATAGACCAGTGGCCAACATCCCGTTTCTGGATGGAATCCTGTTAGAGCGGGTGGTGGCGGGACAACTCCAAGCACTCTTGGATGAAACTGATTATCTGGACCGATTTCAGTCCGGCTTCAGACCCGGGTACAGTACTGAATCTGCCTTGGTCGCCCTGTACGATAACCTGTGCAGGGAGAAGGACAGGGGGAGTGCGTCCCTGTTGGTTCTCCTGGACCTCTCAGCGGCTTTCGATACCATCGACCATGGTATCCTTCTGGACAGGCTTGCGGGATTGGGGGTCGGAGGCACTGCTTTGCAGTGGTTCCGCTCCTACCTCAATGGCCGGTCTCAGAAGGTGGTGCTGGGGGACTATGGCTCTGCACCATGGCAGCTATGCCATGGAGTACCACAGGGGTCCATTTTGTCCCCTTTGCTGTTCAACATCTACATGAAACCGCTGGGAGAGGTCATCAGGAGGTGTGGGCTGCGGAACCATCAGTACGCTGATGATACCCAGCTCTACCTCTCGTTTTCCACCAATCCAGGTGAGGCAGTGGCTGTACTGAACCGGTGCCTGGCCGAGGTAATGGGCTGGATGAAGGCCAATAAACTGAAGCTCAATCCAGACAAGACGGAGGTCCTGTTGGTTGGCGGATCGGGCTTCGGAGAGGGTGAATTGAACCTTGTCCTGAACGGGGTTGCACTCCCTCTTAGGGACAAGGTCCACAGCTTGGGAGTGCTCCTTGACCCGGAGCTTTCACTGGAAGCTCAGGTAACAGCAGCGGCGAGGAGCGCTTTCCTCCAGCTTCAGCAGATTCATCAGCTGCGCCCCTACCTGGAGTACGACTGCCTCACAACAGTGACACATGCGCTGGTGACTTCCCGTCTTGACTTCTGTAACGCGCTCTACGTGGGGCTACCCTTGAAGAAGGTTCGGATACTTCAATTGGTTCAAAATAGAGCTGCCAGGCTGCTGACGGGGACTGGACGTTATGTTCACATGACTCCAGTTCTCCGTCAGCTTCACTGGCTTCCCATTGAAGTCCAGGCCCAATTCAAGGTGTTGGTGATGACCTATAAAGCCCTAAACGGTTTGGGTCCTGGTTACCTGAAGGAGCGCTTACAGCCATATATGCCCGCCCGCCCCCTGAGATCGGCGGGAGAAGCCCTTCTCTGGGAACCTTCCGTGAAGAAAATTAGGAGGGTGAGTACTCGGAGGAGGGCTTTCTCAGCGGTGGCACCTAAGTTATGGAATGCGCTCCCCAGAGAGGTCCGCCTGGTGCTGTCGTTATTTGTTTTTCGGCGCCAGGCGAAGACCTCTTTATTTAAGCAGCATTTTAAATGTTAATATTATTGAATTTTATCTGGCCAGGGTGGCTTATTTTATATTGTATGTATTTTATTTTAATGTTTATATTTTTAATTATAATTATTTAACTAATTGTTGTAAGCCGCCCCGAGGCTTCGGCGAATGGGGTGGCATAAAAACGTTTAACTAAATAAATATACAGTCAGTAAAAACTAGACCAGGAGCTGACTCTGGCTCAGATCATGAGCTTCTGGTTGCAAAATTTAGGCTTAAGTTGAAGAAAGTAGGGGAAAGCACTAGACCACTCAGGTATGACCTAAATCATATCCCTGATGAATATACAGTAGAGGTGAGAAATAGATTTAAGGAATTAGATCTGATAGACAGAGTGCCTGAAGAACTATGGACGGAGGTTCGCAACACTGTACAAGAGGCAGCAACTAAAACCATCCCAAAGAAAAAGAAATGCAAGAAAGCAAAATGGCTGTCTGAGGAAGCTTTACAAATAGCTGAGGAAAGAAGGGAAGCGAAAGGCAAGGGAGAAAGAAAAAGATACAAACAATTGAACGCAGAATTCCAGAGAACAGCTAGAAGAGATAAGAATGCCTTCTTCAATGAACAGTGCAAAGAAATAGAAGAAAAAAATAGAATAGGGAGGACCAGAGATCTCGTCAAGAAAATTGGAGATATGAAGGGAACATTTCATGCAAAGATGGGCATGATAAAGGACCAAAATGGCAGGGACCTAACAGAGGCAGAAGAGATTTAGAAGAGGTGGCAAGATTACACAGAAGAACTATACAAGAAAGAGCTTAACGTCCCAGATAACCACGATGGGGTGGTCACTGACCTCGAGCCAGACATCCTGGAATGTGAAGACAAATGGGCCTTAGGAAACCTGAGCAACAACAAAGCTAGTGGAGGTGACAGTATTCCAGCTGAGCTATTCAAAATCTTAAAAGACAATGCAGTAAAAGTGCTACACTCAATATGCCAGCAAATTTGGAAAACTCAGCAGTGGCCACAGGATTGAAAAAGGTCAGTTTACATTCCCATCCTAAAGAAGGGCCATGCCAAAGAAGCATATGTGGGTCAAGAAGCAACAGTGAGAACTGGACACGGAACCACTGATTGGTTCAAAATTGAGTTCGGCAAGGCTGTATCCTGTCGTCCTGCCTATTTAACTTATATGCAGAGCACATCATGAGAAAGGCGGGGCTAGATGAATCACCAGCTGGAATTAAGATTGCTGGGAGAAATATCAACAGCCTCAGATATGCAGACAATACCACTCTCAAGAGCCTCTTGATGCGGGTGAAGAAGGAGAGCACAAAAGTTGGCTTGAAATTCAACATTAAGAAAACTAAGATCATGGCATCCAGTCCTCTCACTTCCTGGCAAATAGATGGGGAAGAAATGGAGGTAGTGACAGATTTTATTTTCCTGGGCTCCAAGATCACCGCAGACGGGGACTGCAGCCAAGAAATTAAAAGACACTTGCTCCTAGGGAGGAAAGCTATGGCAAATCTAGACAGCATACTAAAAAGCAGAGACATCACCCTGCCAACAAAAGTGCGTATAGTCAAGGCTATGGTTTTCCCAGTTGCAATGTATGGCTGTGAAAGCTAGACCATAAGGAAGGCTGAGCGCCAAAGAACTGAGGCCTTTGAATTGTGGTGCTGGCGGAGACTCCTGCGAGTCCCTTGAACAGCAAGGCGATCAAACCGGTCAGTCCTAGAGGAGATCAACCCTGACTGCTCTTTAGAAGGCCAGATACTGAAGATGAAACTCAAATACTTTGGCCACCTAATGAGAAGGAAGAACTCCCTGGAGAAGAGCCTAATGCTGAGAACAATAGATGGCAAAAGAAGAAGGGGACGGCAGAGGATGAGGTGGCTAGATGGAGTCATTGAAGCAGTTGGCGTGAGCTTAAGTGGACTCTGGGGGATGGTGGAGGACAGGAAGGCCTGGAGGAATGTTGTCCATGGGGTCGCGATGGGTCGGACACGACTTCGCGACTAACAACAACAACTGTGGGGCTACTTGTGAGTCAGTCACAGGAGGCCTCTCTGCTGCCCCATCAAATAGCTATGCACTGGATACAATGTGGGCCCTTTTAGAGGCTCTCTGCACCATTCCTTTTCAAGCGAGTTTCGGTCAGTCAATTGCCAAGTCACCCAGCAGTCCCACTCGGTCCTTGATTGGGATAGATTTTTTCTTTGTCACAGAGAGTGCTTTGCACTACTCAGTTCTGCAAAATCTCTCAGGCAAGATCTACTTGGCCATCTCTCTCACCCACACATTCAATTTTTCCTCTACCTCCAGCACTAGATGGTTTCAATTAATTTCTTTTGTCACCTCTGTAAGTCTTCACTTTCTTAAATAAAAACAAATTAAGTAAAACAAGATTCTCCTCTTCACGGCTGCAGCACTCAAAACTTACAACCAACACAGCAGTCTGTCACTTCCATGGCAAGCAAATCCTGCTCTACTGTGCAGGAATGGGCTTATGATTATGTCATAATGATGATCTTCCTTAGAAAAGAGGAAACACATGCAGGTTTTAATTTAATTTATGGTGCAATCTTGTGCATGTTTAGATCAAAATAAAAAAATCCTTTAACTCCCAGCCGTTCTCCTGCAAGCCTTGATGTAGGATTATTTTTCTGTCTAAACATACATAGAACTGCACCTTGAAGGAAGTTCAGAGAAAGAAAAGTTCCTCTCCCCACCATCCCCCTGGAAGTACCCTGTGCGCCATCCTGCCATGTTCAAAGGTGACTCTTGAACCCTGATACTCTGAGGAAGGTTTTCGGGGAAAATGAGGGGATGAAGCCAAGCCATACAGTTTCTTATATTTACGTTTAAATACACAAGAGCAAAGAGGCCTTTGGGGAATGAACCAATTCTGCTACCCAGGATGTGCTAAAAGGTATCTGTTTTATTCTTCCAAATTGTTAATAAAAATAATAAAGTATTTTATACTCAGAAACAACTGCGGGTAATTCAGTTTAAACAAAAATGGGTTTTTGGATATTTAAGGCATTCAATATGCCATTAATATTTCATAAAAACCAATAATTCTGCATCATAAGCCAATATAACCATTACTTGAAGGAAAATAACTATCTCCAAGAACTAAGATAAACAAGGTAGGGAGAGAGTTTTGCAGCTTCTTATGTTTCATTTCTCGAGCCCTTTGTCCTTTTATACACGCTGATTATTACCATAAACTCAGACTCATAGCACATTTCTGAACACATGGCTCCTATAACAGGAAAGCCTAGATGAATGCTGTAAATTATAGGAGACGGGAAGCTGGGAAAGACTTTTGCTTGCAGCAATGGTGCTTAATTATATGGTTTAAAAAAGTCAATGTTGGTTTATACAGCAAGTGTTTAGATGGGCCATATTGTGTGTTGGGGAGATGGGGGAGAACCCACATCTACCAAGTTCTTCACTACCGGCTTCTCTCTAAACCAAGGGGTGCGCAACCTTTTTGGTTCTGGGAGCTCTATTTGATATTGGCTGGGG